GTGTGTGTGTGTGTGTGTGTGTGTGCGTGCGTGTGTGTGTGTGTGTGCACTGTGCAGGCATATACACACGTCGAGAACACGCACCAGTAGTTACACACTGTAGGAATGCTGCGAGGCGCTTCCTTGCAGTACAGGAAGGCAGCGAGTTTCCGTTCGACCGAGGCAGACGTAGACGGACACGGCACGTCGTTGGGAAACCTCTGCGTTCGAGCACGGTGATGTTTGGAGTCGGTCTAACGGCGGAACGCGTTACTGGCGTGTTGGCTCATACATGGTACTGATGCGGAGGCAGAGGGATGCTGGTACTGATGGGGAGGCAGAGGGATGCAGGGCGGATTGGTTCTCTGAACGCATTTCACTGCGGCAAGAAACGAAGGAAGCTTCTAACCAAGCTTTTATCACGTCATGCGTGTATAAAGTTACCAGTGAGAGAACGGTAAATCAGTGGCATACGCCTAGTGCGAGTGTGAGACAGACGGAGGGTGGGGGAAGAGCATAGAAGGTGGGGACAGTGACACAATAATGACAAATAAAGGTCTGAGTGAACTGAGCTCTGGTTACAGGAGACGACAGTGGGAAACAATAAACGTGCTAATAACCGTTGACAACCCTTATGGACAACTCTTCTCTATGCAGCAGCGAACTGCCTAATACTGATACATACACTGGCTAGTGACAGTGGATTACACTGCTCGGTGACGCGAAGGACACGTATGGTGATTAGAGAAGAGAAGAGTGGGCAAAGCAAAGCATGAAGGACCTCATTAGCTAAACAAAAAAATCCATCAAGGATCTTGTTGGTAAGGATAAGACTATGACCGCGGACCACCACCACAGACACTAGGTCTACATACGCAGCCCGGGTTTCCCGCCATAGACAGGACCCTGCTGTGTAGAGAAGAACTGCCTAGGTATACCGGTAGAGAGAGCTATGCAGACACTAACTCTAGTAGTCCCTTCGCTCCCGCTACAGGGCTGTACGATCAACATAGCTCTACCCGGGTAGACCCTTCGCTCCTGCTACAGGGCTGTAAGATCAACATAGCTCTACCCGGGTAGACCCTTCGCTCCTGCTACAGGGCTGTAAGATCAACATAGCTCTACCCGGGTAGCCCCTTCGCTCCTGCTACAGGGCTGTACGATCAACATAGCTCTACCCGGGTAGCCCCTTCGCTCCTGCTACAGGGCTGTACGATCAACATAGCTCTACCCGGGTTGCCCCCTTCTCTCTTGCTACAGGGCTGTACGATCAACATGGCTCTACTGGTGTAGCCCCCTTCGCTCCTGCTACAGGGCTGTACGATCAACATAGCTCTACCCGGGTAGCCCCTTCGCTCCCGCTACAGGGCTGTACGATCAACATAGCTCTACCCGTGTAGCCCCCTTCGCTCCCGCTACAGGGCTGTACGATCAACATAGCTCTACCCGTGTAACCCCCTTCTCTTCTGCTACAGGGATGTACGATCAACATGGCTCTACTGGTGTAGCCCCCTTCTCTCCTGCTACAGGGCTGTACGATCAACATAGCTCTACTCGGGTAGCCCCTTCGCTCCTGCTAAAGGGCTGTATGATCAACATAGCTCTACCCATGTAGCCCCTACGCTCCCGCTCCTTGTAGCGGAAGTGAAGGGGCTACACAGGTACTTATTTTCCACAACTTTACACCCTGTATTTATTCCTCAAAGTGCTAGCACTACTTTCGTTTCGTTTTCAAATGTTGTTGTGTACACGTGTGACGTCACACGAAATGTAGATAAAACACATGGGCAGCTATGATGCAGCCTATTACATTTCGGGTGACGTCACGCGTGTACACAACAGCATTTGAAAACGAAACGCAAGTAGTGCTAGCACTTTCAGGAATAAATGCCTTGTGATGGACATCTCACCTGAGATGTCCATGTAGATAAATAAGTGTTAAAAAGCCCGATCATTCTGCGTTTTGTGAGCTATTTTTCGTGGAAGCATTGGGGGACAGGTGCAGTTACGAAACCTGGCATAAAATGTTCTATAGCCCTGCGGCAACTGTACGCGGGCTATAGTAGTACTACGGCTATGCAAACATGAGCTTATCCCTCGCATGCGGACTACAGAGAAACTGAATGAAGGTAAATATCATAAGACGAAGAAAGCAATAGCCTGAACAGCTCGCTAGCTAGCTACACGTTACTACGGGATCTGCTGGCGTTAGGGTTTCGATGTTTTGGGGGCGTTTCGCTGCGGGCTAGAACTAGCAGAGTTCAGCTTCTTGTTCTTATATGTTTACCAGCATGGACCGATCACCCGCCGAGAGGAAGGGGGAGTTGGTTTTAAATCCGGGTCTTCTGAATTGTTGTAATTGCATGAATACCCTGCTAACCTCCCGCCTCTTCATAGACTGGCCCCACACGCAGTTGAGAATCAGTGGGCTAGGCTACGGTGACTGTTAGTGTCAGTCTAGCTTCTCCCCGCAAAAAGCCCCCTTTCGTCGGCGTCTGCATGGGAAGCAGGGGGGTAATAGACAAGGAAAATAGCGGATGTATATATACGTGGCATTCCTGACTGTATGCAGACCACTGCAATGAGAAAGAACGCACGGGATAGACACAGCTAGAGAAAGAGGGAGGAGGAGGAGGAGGGAGGAGGAGGAAGGAAGGAGAGCGAG